GAGTCTCTCACTGGATGCCACAAAACGCAGTTCAAAGTCTGGAAGTTGGACGAAGAGAGATGTTCTGAGAGAGATGTCGACGGTGTTTGACCCCTTGTGTTTATTTGCACCGTTCACGCTACGAGCGAAGATGCTGTTCCAGCTGACTTGGAGTGATGGTGCTGGCTGGGACGACGTCCTACCCGAAGACCAGCAAAAGAAGTGGTCAGAGTGGTTTTACGAGCTGGGCGAACTCGGCACCATATCTGTGCCTCGATGCATCCACCCATTTCAAGGACAGCCTGGACAACAAGTACACGTATTCAGCGACGCTTCGGAGCAAGCATACGCCGCAGCGGTGTATGTGGTGTCAGAAGACGATGGCGTTCGAGTCTCGAATCTCGTTCTAGCACGCGCTAGAGTAGCTCCAAAAGCAAAGAAGCAAACCATTCCGAGACTGGAACTCATGGGAGCGTTGCTCGGCATGCGCCTGGTCAAAAAAGTATGCCAGGCACTTGGAAAGGACTTGAAGGAAGTATACTTCTGGTCGGATTCCATGGATATCTTATGCTGGATCAGGAACGAAGTGGCTCACTTTCAGCCATTTGTAGCGCACCGTGTTGCTGAAATCCGAGAGTTCACCGCACCGGAACAGTGGCAACACGTTCCAGGATCAAGCAACCCTGCGGATGCGCCGACAAGAGGTCTGGGTCTGGAAGAACTAAGGAACCACAGCTTGTGGTGGCATGGACCGGCATATCTGTTAGATGGCGAACAGTGCTGGCCAAAAAGAAAGGAATTCAGCGAGGAAGAGTTCGACAAGAGTGAATTTCGCAAGCTGGAACAGAGGAAAACATTTGCTGTGACAACACCGGTTGCATCAGGATTCCGGCTCCAGCCAGAGAACTACTCTAGCTGGACGAGATTTCTCCGAGTGTCTGCCTGGGTATGGCGGTTCATACACGCACTCAAGTCTAGAGAAAGCAGCAAGGGAAGCGATTTTGAGAGAGCTAAGTCGAATGAACTGACTCCAGATGAAGTAGAAGAAGCTGAAAGATTCTGGGTCAAACAAGTTCAGGAAGAGTCCTTCCCCATAGAAGTGAAGCAGCTGACGAAGGTGCAGACGGGTCACTTCGTCTCCAAAAAAGCATGTCGTGAGAGCCAAGTCAGGCAGCTGAGTCCATTCATGGACGAATTCGGCGTGATCCGTGTCGGAGGTAGATTGCAAAGATCGGACCTCAGCTACAATGCAAAACACCCGATTCTTCTCCCGAAGAAACACCCAGTCAGTAGGCTGATCATCCGACAAATCCATGAAGATGCAGGACACGGAGTAGGAGTAGAGCACACCTTGGCTGAACTGAGAACACGATATTGGATTCCTGCGGCAAGGGAAATGATCAAAGCCTGCATTCGTCAGTGCGTGACATGTCAGAAACTCCGCCAGAAAACAGAGACGCAAGTGATGGCACCCAAACTGAGCTCTCAAGTCTGCCCATCTTACCGTGCGTTTGACAAGTGCTCAGTGGACTTTGCGGGTCCATTCATTACGAAGCAGGGTCGAGGAAAAGCTCGTCAGAAGAGATACTTATGCGTCTTCACATGCCTTCAAGTACGAGCCGTTCACCTAGAAATGACGTATGGAATGGACACTGCCAGTTTCGTCAGGGCTCTGATGCGATTTATAGCCAGACGAGGTCGACCCACGGAGATAACATCAGACAACGGAAGAAGTTTCGTTCGAGCTTCCAAAGAGCTGAGGCAGGCTGTGGAACGTCTAGACAACAACAAAATACAGCGGGAGCTCCTGAAGTCGCACACAAAATGGACATTCACACCGCCCGGTGCTCCGCATTTCAATGGACCCTGCGAAGCCATGGTTAAGATGGCGAAAAGAGCGCTGGTGAAAACCCTGGAACATGCCGATCTGTCGGATGAAGAGCTCCAGACAGCCTTTTGCAAGGCAGAAGCGCTCATGAACACCAGACCGCTGACGGTGCTGTCTGCTGACCCTGATGACGAGCCTCCACTGACGCCTGCCAACTTTATCACAGGACCATCAGACATCGAGATGGTGCCACCTGGCGGCTGTGAGGATGTCTCTCTTAGACAGCGCTGGAAGCGAATCCAGCAGCTGTCGACGGAGTTTTGGAGACGATGGCTGCGAGAGTACCTGCCGTCCCTGCAGCAGAAGCAGAAGTGGCTTCAGCCTCAGATCGACATCGCCTCTGGTGACGTTGTGCTGGTGACCGATCTAACCGCACCACGGGGGAAGTGGCCAATGGGTCGTGTGGAGGAGGTGATGCCAGGTGCTGACGGTCATGTCAGAGTGGTCTCAGTCAAGCTGAAGGGCAAAACAGTCACGAGACCAGTAGTCAAACTGGTCAAACTCAGTGTCGATGAACCACTACCATAGGAGGTGGTCTCTGAGTTAGTTATGTGTTGGATTGACAGGTCAGTCCAAAGAGGGGGGGGGGGAGATGTAGACGAGGATGAGTAGCAGGCATAGCGCGAGGCGCATATCTTGCGCAGTGAAAATACGAGAAGAGAAATAAAAGTTGTTGGAACCGAGCAACCGTGGTGTTTTGAAGTAGCATTAAGAATTAAGTAAAGTATCACTTTTTGAGAAATATCGTTAAGATGTTAAGATAATACACAACGCGAGGTTATATACAGATTCATTTAGAACAACATATATTCCGGTTTTTCGAAATTCAAAAAACTTTTTGGATTTTTTGGCTATTATATTCAAAAAATCTATTTTTTTATTTTTGGGGGTCAAAATAAAAAAAATCGAAAAACCGAAAACGCAGTTTTGTAGCCCTTTTAACCTTCGCCCCAGTGGGGGGGGGGGGCATATGTTACCACCCTGTCGCGTTTTTCGCGTGTGAATAAAAAACCGCGGCGCGTAGCGCCGCGCCGCTTGGGGTAGCTTTTGGTACATCAATTTTGGACAATGTGTGAAATTTTTGACCCCAGGTCATGTCAGGTCAGGTCACCAGGTCAAGTTAACTGACCAAGCCTTAAAAAAGTTTGCAATCATGTCCAGCCTGCAGTGTTTGTCAGAAAGGTTTTGAACTTGGTGGATTGCATGCTGTTATGGGAGCCTACAATTTGTATATCTCGGATTTTTTATATCCGCGACCTAAGGTCAGGTCAGTGGCATGACCTTTCCATTACAAGTCAATGGAGAAAAATGAGAATGACTCTAGATCCGTGTGTACGCATAGGAACAGTCCAACTATTTCAGAATCACAATGATTTAGTCCACTCGTGATGACCAAGGTGTCATTTTTGCTGATAGCCTCTAGAAAGGTCATCCGAGGTCATTTGAGGCTACAAACAGTTTTTTGCCAATAACTCGCGATTGGAAAGAGATAGAACGCTGGGGATGGTCTCATTGTGTTTGTCTTGTTGAGACGCATCGACTGATATGCAACATGACCTTTTCCGGTCAGGTCATGACCTTGACCTGAGGTCAAATTTTTATGTTGACCTTTTAAGGTCAAATTATACTTCATTCAACGCGTCTCGGTGAGGGGAACACGATTCTGGCAATAGAAATGTCGTGGCTTTTTGTAGTCGAAAGTTATTGTCGAAAAACACTTTTCGTAAAAACAGCTATGTTTGGAGTTTTTGCCCTCTGGAGGCTAAACCGTTGACCTGAGGACAATATTGATATAATCTTTTCAAAAGAAGAGTTCAAAAGCTATCGATTGCCTCTCCATGCGTTTTTCTAGCTACCATAGTTCCTGAGATAGCGGCATGTTTTCTGAAAAATAAAATGACAATTGGCAAATTTTGACCTTTGATGACCTCTGGTGACGCCAATATTGCTCTAAGGTGAAAAACGACCGAAATACTTTCAAACGTACGTATTGAGAGCTATCGACTGCTTTTTACCGCGTCTTTCTAGCCCTCTTAGTTTTTGAGTTAGAGGTGGGTGGTAACATATGCCCCCCCTCACTAGGGCGAAGTTGGCCGAGACCGCCACTGGGGCGCGGGTTAATTCCACACCTTTTATGTCGAAACATTTTTCTGTATACCTAAAGCTGTAGGCCTGACAGCTCTTCCCGCGAAACCTTTTTTTGGGTCGAAAATGGCAAAAATGACATCACTCTGACGTGATTAGCGGCCAACCTATCATAGCCTTTGGAAAAATTTTTGGTCACCATGTGCGCTAGCTGCTCCCGGGAGGGTACTGAAAGTTTGGTGACGATCGGCGCAGCGGTTCTCGAGATATATCGAGAAAAAAAAACTAAAGGGGGGGCAAAAAATGCCCCCCCCCCCCCACCGCCTGGAAGGTTAAAATACCAAATACCAAGTTGGTATCGGTTTGGTATCGGTATACCAAAAAGTTGGTATCCGATTGACATCTCTAGTCAAAGCAGATCCTGCATAACACAGCTGATGCTAGCAATCGACGAATAAAGAGTTGCACGATCATAGACGTCACGATTGAGAACATCTGGGCATATGAAGTCATCTAGCCAAACCCTGCATTGGCCCCGAACATACCGACATTTTTCCAAAATGTGAGACTCCAAATGACCGGTGGGACACATCTCTAGCGAGTACCCGCCTCTAATGAATACCAACCTTTAACGAGTACATACCCACCTCTAACAAATATCCACCTGTATCGCGTACTGACCTGTAGCGAGTAGTTAGTACCCACCTCAGTTGATTACCCGCGTCTAGCGAGTAGTGATTACCCACCTGTACCGAATACCCGCCTGTAACAAGTAGTGAATGCCCCGTAACGAGTACCCACCTCTAGCAAGTAGTGAGTACCCACACCTAACGATTACCCACCTCTAGCAGGCTTTGAATACCACGTAACGAGTACCTACCTCTATCGGGTAGTGAATACCCACCTCTAGCGAGTAGTGAGTGCCTACCTCAGTTGAGTACCCGCCTCTAGCGAGTATCCGCGTCTAGCGAGTAATGAGTACCTACCCAACTGTACCGAGTATCCGCCTGAAGCGAGTACCGAGTACCCACCGGTACCGAGTACCCACCTCGACACTCATGTCGGCCAGGGTGACGGCGCCATCAGTGACGGGTACTGGCGGAGCGGTGGTGGTGGCGGCGGCGGCGGCAGCGGCGGCGGCGGCGGCGTCCGTGGTGGTCTCGGCCGGCGCGGTGGTCGTCGTGGTGACGGTGGTGGTGGTGACCGTGGTCGTGGTCGTGGTCGCCACCGTGGTCGTCAGTGACATAGGATCTGACGTCACCGGGAACGGCCCGGTGTCAGGTGGGCAACATTTCTCAAGTGATGTCATACATCATGTCAGGTGTATTTTCAACATGGGCGCAAGCTTACGAAAGATCTACTCGAGCCATATCATTCACGCTTAGTGAATCGTAAGCAATATTGCCCCATGTGCGAGCTCATGAAATAACCCTACACTGATATTTTCAACTGGCTGTGAGCAATTATCACCCACAAAATCAAGAACTACCGAATGTTACCAACACTTCCCTAAAACGTCATATTTGCCAGTTTAGTTCCGTTGCGATGTCATTTATGACTTTGGGAGCGTCATTGTATCTTTTCACGCTCCGTGTGACGTCGTTTGTCCCTCTCACGCCTCCCAGTGACGTCATTTGTCCCTCTCAGGCCGCCCAGTGACGTCATTTGTCCCTCTCAGGCCTCCCAGTGACGTCATATGTCGACTGACCGACGCAGGCTCCGTGGTGCGGTACGTGGTCGCCGGGGCACTGGCAGGTGGCGCCACCAGTGGCGGCGTCCGGCACACAGGTGGCGTTCAGGGTCTGCCGGGAGCACTCCAGGTCGATCTGACACGCGTCACCTACACCGGCTGTGTGAGAGGGAGGGAGTACCAGGCGTCACCGATACCGGCTGTGTGAGAGGGAGGGAGTACCAGGCGTCACCGATACCGGCTGTGTGAGAGGGAGGGAGTACTAGCCGTCACCGATACCGGCTGTGTGAGAGGGAGGGAGTACCAGGCGTCAGGGGGGCACAGCTACGGTGCACGTCCTCCACACCAGCTGTGTGAGAGGGAGGGAGTACCAGGCGTCAACGATACCGGCTGTGTGAGAGGGAGGGAGTACCAGCCGTCACCGATACCGGCTGTGTGAGAGGGAGGGAGTACCAGCCGTCACCTATACCGGCTGTGTGAGAGGGAGGGAGTACCAGCCGTCACCCGGCTGTGTGAGAGGGAGGGAGTACCAGGCGTCCCCGATACCGGCTGTGTGAGAGGGAGGGAGTACCGGGCGTCACCGATACCGGCTGTGTGAGAGGGAGGGAGTACCAGGCGTCACCGATACCGGCTGTGTGAGAGGGAGGGAGTACCAGGCGTCACCCGGCTGTGTGAGAGGGAGGGAGTACCAGGCGTCCCCGATACCGGCTGTGTGAGAGGGAGGGAGTACCGGGCGTCACTGATACCGGCTGTGTGAGAGGGATGGAGTACCAGGCGTCACCTACACCGGCTGTGTGAGAGGGATGGAGTACCAGGCGTCACCTACACCGGCTGTGTGAGAGGGATGGAGTACCGGGCGTCACCGACACCTCAGGGAGGGAGGACCAGGCGTCACCGATACCGGCTGTGAGTGACGGAAGATCGGGTTGTCAGGGGGGCACAGATATGGTGCACGTCCCCCACACTCCTGTGTGGAACGGGAACGGGTACCGGGGGGTCAGGGGCACAGATATGGCACACGCCCCCTCCCCCCGTATCGACTGTATGGAACCACAGCGGTGACCGGGAGGGGGTATCGGGCGTCAGAGATATACCTATGACACATGTCCCCCGACATGGGGCACAGATGTGACACTAAGACGCTGGTTTTAGGAAACACACCTGGCGCGAAGTACCGGACATCAGAGGGGGGCACAATGGGATGTGCCCCCCTGATGTCACTTGCGCATATCGCATTACACCGCATATCCCGCGTACCTACCTATCACACTGACCCGGTGAACCGTGAGGTGCCCGACCTCCACACCAGCTGTGTGAAACTACACCAGTAGATGGAATATGACATCAGTCGGGCCGCAATCAAGGTCGCCTCAATAAAACGCGTCAAAGGAGGGACATACAAGTACCGGGAGAGCGTAAGACTCGTCTGAAAGGAGGACACAGCAACCGCTCTATGGACGTGAATGACACCGAGGAGGGCCCCCTGACACCGAGGAGGACCCTCTGCTGACACCGAGGAGGGCCCCCTGACACCGAGAGGACCCTCTGCTGACACCGAGGACGGCCCTTGACACCGAGGAGGGCCCCCTGACACCGAGGAGCCCCCCCCCCCATCCCCACCCCTGACACGGAAGAGGACGGTCTGGTCCCCGGCGGTTGTCGGTGGTACCCGCGGCGCGCCGTCTCACCGTTCAGCATCTTGAACTGCATGGTGGTGGTGGTCGAGGCACCGGCCTCGAGGCCCCCGCCGCGGTTAGAGTAGTGCTGACACCAGCCGTTGCTCGAGTCAAACTCGAATGCCACGCACCACCGGGAGGCGAGGCAGCCGACGCGGCACTTACCTGGGGGGGGGAGGCAGCGTGAGGTCATAGAGGTCATATGGGGTCAGCTAACACAGGGAAAGGCGAGGCAGCCGACAGGACACTTACGTGGGGGGAGAGGTCAGCGTGAGGTCACATCAGAGACCTAAGGTAAGATCAGCCAACTCGGAATAACCCACATTATATTAGCGTATTTTGTACACGCTAGATTTTTGTTTAAAACCTTCCAGGTGGTGGGGGGCATTTTTTGCCCCCTTTAGTTTTTTTTTCGATATATCTCCAGAACCGCTGCGCCGATCGTCACCTAACTTTCAGTACCCTCCCGTGAATAGCTGTTGCACATTGTCACAAAAAATACAAAGGCTATGAAATGTTGGCCGCAAATGACTCAGAGTGACGTCATTTCTGCCATTTTCGACCCCAAAAAAGGTTTCCGGGAAGAGGTGCCAGGCCTACAGCTTTAGATATAGGTACAGAAAAATGTTTCAACATAAAAGGTGTAGAATCAAGAGGGCTACAAAACTGCTATCTCGGATTTTTGATTTTTTTGGATTTTGAACCCAAAAATAAAAAATACATGTCTTGAGTATAATAGCCGAAAAATCCAAAAAGGTTTTTTGAATTTCGAAAACGGAATATATGTGATAGTCCCTACCACCTTCTATCTACATACCAAATTTGAGATCGATGCCTCTTTTTTTGGCCAAGTTATAGCGAAAAAAAAAAAACTGTTCAAAATTGATGACGTCAAATTTTCAAACTCAATTCATTTAGCAATTCTAGACCTCGTAGCGCAAAACAAAGACCACTATAAGACTCCTCGTGGCGAGCTGCATCGAATCAATACCCATTCTATGCACAACTAACAACTTTGAAATTTGACCTTTTTTGACCTGACCTTGACCTGACCTTGACATGAACTCCACCAGAAAGTGACCTAAACCGTACCTACCTGATGGTCTTATAACCAACACCATTGAGTTGGAAATGCAAAATTGGCCATAAAACATGCATCGCACAACCTTAGTAAAGTTGGGTTCATGTGGTGACCCTTGGTGACCTGACATGTGACTTGACCTGGTATGACCACTGACCTCTAATAGCAACATATGTACTAGACAACTGACGCCCTATCGCTGATTTTCGACAAAGTGGGTTTTACTCGGTGTTATAGCGCTTTCCCTAGAAGACCCGTGAACGGTGAAACATTTTATCTTTGACCTGACCTGTGACGTCATCGGTTACCCCGAGGTCAACGAAATTTGGTTTCTTTCAACAAATTTGATAGGGCTATCGAACGCCGTTTTAACCTTCGCCCCAGTGGGGGGGGGCATATGTTACCACCCTGTCGCGTTTTTTGCGTGTGAATAAAAAACCGCGGCGCGTAGCGCCGCGCCGCTTGGGGTAGCTTTTGGTACATCAATTTTGGACAATGTGTGAAATTTTTGACCCCAGGTCATGTCAGGTCAGGTCACCAGGTCAAGTTAATTGACAAAGCCTAAAAAAAAGTTTGCAATCATGTCCAGCCTGCAGTGTTTGTCAGAAAGGTTTCAAACTTGGTGGATTGCATGCTGTTATGGGCGCCTACAATTTGTATATCTCGGATTTTTTATATCCGTGACCTAAGGTCAGGTCAGTGGCGAAACCTTTCCATTACAAGTCAATTGAGAAAAATGAAAATGCCTCTAGATCCGTGTGTACGCATCGGAACAGTCCAAATATTTCAGAATCACAATGATTTAGTCCACTCGTGATGACCAAGGTGTCATTTTTGCTGATAGCCTCTAGACAGGTCATACGAGGTCACTTGAGGCTATAAACAGTTTTTTGCCAATAACTCGCGATTGGAAAGAGATAGAACGCTGGGGATGGTCTCATTGTGTTTGCCTTGTTGAGACGCATCGACTGATATGCAACATGACCTTTTCCGGTAAGGTCATGACCTTGACCTGAGGTCAAATTTTCAACTTGACCTTTCAAGGTCAAATTATAGTTCATTCGACGCGTCTCGGCGAGAGGAACACGATTCTGGCAATAGAAATGTCGTGACTTTTTGTAGTCGAAAGTGATTGTCGAAAAACACTTTTCGTAAAAACAGCTATTTTTGGACTTTTTGCCCTCTGGAGGCCAAACCGTTGACCTGAGGTCAACATTGATAATAATCTTTTCAAAAGAAGAGTTCAAAAGCTATCGATTGCTCTTCCCTGCGTTATTCTAGCTACCATAGTTCCTGAGATAGCGGCATGTTTTCTGAAAAATATAATGACAATTGGCAAATTTTGACCTTTGATGACCTCTGGTGACCCCAATATTGCTCTAAGGTGAAAAATGACTGAAATACTTTCAAACGTACGCATTGAGAGCTATCGACTGCTTTTTACCGCGTCTTTCTATCCCTCTTAGTTTTTAGTTAGAGGTGGGTGGTAACATATGCCCCCCCTCACTAGGGCGAAGTTGGCTGAGACCGCCACTGGGGCGCGGGTTAATTTTCCGGATCCGTCCGCAGTAGTTTCGGAGATACGGGGGAAATGCCCCCCCCCCACCGCGCGGAAGGTGGCCGGGAGGCCCACCGCCTGCCGGGTTCCAAATTTCTGCGTGAAATTTGACCAAATAAAACATTAAAATCCCAATTCTCTACCGGCTTATACATATGACTTTGTTCAGGCAGCGCAAGACCTCCAGCGTAAGCGTGCGACAACAGTTGCAGGCTGTGGAGTGCTGCTGAGTGCTGACGGTGGCAATCCGTAACGCCAACTGTCAGCAAGTCGCTACCTACTCTCAGCGAGTTAAAAACCGACTGAACAAAGCTCCAAACGTTGTTCACCACGAAACAAAGCCATCCGTTGGCCGGGACGTGCTGGATGGTTATACTCCCAGTTGGCCTACAAACTACAGAGACTTAGACGCCTGATACTCTCGGTTGGCCTACAGAAACGCCGCTTTTCGTTCGTCTTTTTACCATCACTGCCTGCTCTTAGTATGTGAGTGTCTGTGCCAAATTGGCTCCACTTACGCTCAATATTGGTGACAGTGATAAGTGTAGTCGGCAAACCATAACCCTCCTTACACTGAGTGTATCCGTGGAGCTGCCAGTAGACAGTCTGGACTGGCCGCTGTGTGAACCCTCCTTACACTGAGTGTATCCGTTGCGTTGCCAGTAGACAGTCTGGACTGGCCGCTGTGTGAAGTGTGAACCCTCCTTACACTGTGTGTATCCGTTGCGCTGCCCGGAGACAGTCTGGACTGGCCGTTGTGTGAACCCTCCTTACACTGTGTGTATCCGTGGAGCTGCCAGGAGACAGTCTGGACTGGCCGCTGTGTGAACCCTCCTTACACTGTGTGTATCCGTGGCGCTGCCCGGAGACAGTCTGGACTGGCCGCTGTGTGAACCCTCCTTACACTGTGTGTATCTGTGGAGCTGCCCGGAGACAGTCTGGACTGGCCGCTGTGTGAACCCTCCTTACACTGTGTGTATCTGTGGAGCTGCCCGGAGACAGTCTGGACTGGCCGCTGTGTGAACCCTCCTTACACTGTGTGTATCCGTGGAGCTGCCAGTAGACAGTCTGGACTGGCCGCTGTGTGAACCCTCCTCACACTGTGTGTATCCGTGGAGCTGCCAGTAGACAGTCTGGACTGGCCACTGTGTGAACCCTCCTTACACTGTGTGTATCCGTGGAGCTGCCAGGAGACAGTCTGGACTGGCCGCTGTGTGAACCCTCCTTACACTGAGTGTATCCGTGGAGCTGCCAGTAGACAGTCTGGACTGGCCGCTGTGTGAACCCTCCTTACACTGAGTGTATCCGTGGCGCTGCCAGTAGACAGTCTGGACTGGCCGCTGTGTGAACCCTCCTTACACTGAGTGTGTCCGTGGCGCTGCCAGGAGACAGTCTGGACTGGCCGCTGTGTGAACCCTCCTTACACTGTGTGTATCCGTGGAGCTGCCAGGAGACAGTCTGGACTGGCCGCTGTGTGAACCCTCCTTACACTGTGTGTATCCGTGGCGCTGCCCGGAGACAGTCTGGACTGGCCGCTGTGTGAACCCTCCTTACACTGTGTGTATCTGTGGAGCTGCCCGGAGACAGTCTGGACTGGCCGCTGTGTGAACCCTCCTTACACTGTGTGTATCTGTGGAGCTGCCCGGAGACAGTCTGGACTGGCCGCTGTGTGAACCCTCCTTACACTGTGTGTATCCGTGGAGCTGCCAGTAGACAGTCTGGACTGGCCGCTGTGTGAACCCTCCTCACACTGTGTGTATCCGTGGAGCTGCCAGTAGACAGTCTGGACTGGCCGCTGTGTGAACCCTCCTTACACTGTGTGTATCTGTGGAGCTGCCAGTAGACAGTCTGGACTGGCCGCTGTGTGAACCCTCCTTACACTGTGTGTATCCGTGGAGCTGCCAGGAGACAGTCTGGACTGGCCGCTGTGTGAACCCTCCTTACACTGAGTGTATCCGTGGAGCTGCCAGTAGACAGTCTGGACTGGCCGCTGTGTGAACCCTCCTTACACTGTGTGTATCCGTGGAGCTGCCAGTAGACAGTCTGGACTGGCCGCTGTGTGAACCCTCCTCACACTGTGTGTATCCGTGGAGCTGCCAGTAGACAGTCTGGACTGGCCGCTGTGTGAACCCTCCTTACACTGTGTGTATCTGTGGAGCTGCCAGTAGACAGTCTGGACTGGCCGCTGTGTGAACCCTCCTTACACTGTGTGTATCCGTGGAGCTGCCAGTAGACAGTCTGGACTGGCCGCTGTGTGAACCCTCCTTACACTGAGTGTATCCGTGGCGCTGCCAGTAGACAGTCTGGACTGGCCGCTGTGTGAACCCTCCTTACACTGAGTGTATCCGTGGCGCTGCCAGTAAACAGTCTGGACTGGCCGCTGTGTGAACCCTCCTTACACTGAGTGTGTCCGTGGCGTTGCCAGGAGACAGTCTGGACTGGCCGCTGTGTGAACCCTCCTTACACTGTGTGTATCCGTGGCGTTGCCAGTAGACGCTCTGGTTGCCGCCGAACCGTTGACCCTCCATATCCACCATCCGGATCGCCAGGTCGGCGATCCGGATCGGGTGTCCGCTGATGGCCGGCTCCAGGTCATCCAGGACGTCCCACAGCTGCAGGTCGGTGACCCCAGACGGCCAGGTGACGTCACACACAGTCAGCTGAACGAGCGCCGCCAGCCAGCTGACTGCCGCCAGACGCCCGCACGCCGGCGCCATCTTGGATTCTAAAAAGCGGGGAGAGTGTTGTTCACGACTTTTTTGTAGCAGAAAAACATCCATCAGTAGAAACTAGAAACTGCAGAAACACAAAGACCACCATGAGAGCATTCTTTATCTGTCTAAAACCAGTAAAACGCCTTTTGGGCGAAGAACGAGCGAGCGAGATAGTGAGCCCTGCACGTGCGGAAGGGCGAGAGGGTGCTTCCAACGGGCTTGTGCAAAGCACCCTTCTAACCGGTCGCTAGCGGTGTGCCAAATTTGAACTCAATCGGCCCAGCCGTTCCTAAGATCTGGAAGCGGCATTCTGCACGTGCGCACGTGCAAACGGGGTCCAAAATGACTTTTGCACGGCACCCTACCAACTGGTCCCCAACCGTGTACCAAATTTGAGCGCAATCGGCCCAGCCGTTCTCGAGATCTGGAAACGCCCCCTGCACGTGCGCACGTGCAGTAGCACCCTAACCGCAACACATGGGAATGCATTGCCTGGTGGGTGCTTACCTGTATGCCAAGTTTCAGCAAAATCGCCCCAGTAATTACCGAGTTACTGAAATGGGAACAAATTTGGCACCTCTTATTGTTGTATTTTGCACGTGCACTGGGGGTGACCCACATACATCGAGAGTATCCTATTTTGGGTAGAAGGGATGCTGCTACCCTACAAAAAATTATCGCAAGTCAATCGCCCAAGCGGCTGCTGAGATATGAGCCTCTCAAAATCACTACTTTTGCGAAACAGCTTGAACACCCTTGACTTTTAACGTGGCACGTGCCACGACGGTCGCTGAGATGTATCAAAAGTAGTCAATTACGGGGTAGAAGTAATGGGGCTACCCAAAAAAAAAGACCGCAGTCCAATCGGTTCAGCGGTTGCTGAGATATAAGCCTCTCAAAAGCGTTACAGGCCGGGCCGGGCCGGGCCGGGCCGCTCATACTGAGATTTTTCCGTTATATTGAAAAGACTCACTTCGCTCGCTGCGCTCGCTCGCTCGTAACTAGGTCTTTTGGCTTTTCAGGTTTGAGGTGCCTAGGATTGTATGAGCACACAATGAAGTTCGTTGTTGATCATTTTCGTATGATAATGTTTTGAATGCAATGTGTTGGAAAGCTTCGACTGAAGCTGAGGATGCGAGTGCGGGAGCCACACATCAAACACTCTACCTTTCTTGAGATGTCCCCCACTTATCTCGACTCGTCGTTTGTAGCTAAGTTACGTGATGCATATTTACTAATTGCATCACGACTCTTATGGACATGATCTGGAGTTTGTCAATGCAATAAGTAAATGAGGACTTTACTCCACAAGAAATCGCTCGGGTCGGAGCTTTCGAATTGTAACGAATCCTTGAGTTATTATCGTCACTTTCGAATTGTATTCACAAACCTTCGTCAGCGAGTCGTAATCGGAGTTCGGGAGCATTGGTTGGAAAATTCGCCCCCCGAACCCGGATTACAATACGCTAACGAAGTTTCCAAATGCAGCTCGAAAGCTCCGACAAAAACGACTTCACGACAATCACGACTTCCACTCTTCCTCTGTCACCTATGTTCGTGAGGAATAAACTATATTCCGCGGGAATCTGGCCTCATGGGATTCTCGGATTCTCGGGTGTTCCTTCAATTGTTTTACCGATCGTTAGAGGGAGAGAGAGAGAGACAGAGAAAGAGAGAGAGAGAGAGAGAGAGAGAGAGAGAGAGAGAGAGAGAGAGAGAGAGAGAGAGAGAGAGAGAGAGAGAGAGAGAGAGAGAGAGAGAGAGAGAGAGAGAGACGTATTTACGGACTCAAGGTCCAGTTGTAAATGAGACAGGACCACTTAACAATGCCAACAGTGCCCGATTCCACACAGCCCTATATCTAGAGCTTATGCTCACATCACTGTTCACAAGATCGCTCAAAACAGGGCTTTTGGTCAAACCGAGCCTTTGGAGAAATACCCATGATGACTTTCTGAACATCAAAGCTATCAATGCCTTCGCGAACATGCATGGCAAAAACACTTCAGGATCTCTCGTACCCCCTCCCCACAAAAGAACATTCGAGCAGCATTACTCAGGCAAACCTTAACTAGTTCAACTTGTTGATAACTGGCACATTGAACACATGCCAAAGGTGAAGGCAATATATGTACAGAGGCACGATAGGACATATACAGAAACTTCTTTACCTGATGTGAGCACATCGATAATTTCCGAATCAGCGAGTTCGTTCAACAGCACAATAAGCGATAATCGATATTGCTGCTGGACTTCCAAATTACCATATAGGTATGGTTTCAGAAATATTAAATCCCTAAGTATTTGTAGCCATTTCCCCTTTTACACAAATATCCCGTTTCAGCTACATTTATTTTCACCCCGTTTTAGCTAAATATACAATTTTTATATAAAAGAGATAGAATATGTTTGGTAATAGGTACTAAGCACGGACAAATCTTCTGTTTGCCAATGAGCAATATTTAGTTTGACAAATGTTCCGTCCTTACGTGCGCATAAAAAACAATGTGGTGTTTCGATGCAGAAAGTCAAATGCGCCTTTTCACAGAACTTCTTTGACAAATTTTTCCTCAAAATTCCAAAAAAGGTCGTTTCATGTGTATCGTGGCGGTAACGTTGAATACAATTTAACCCTCGCTCGTATAGGAGGGGGGGGTTCGAACGGACCCCCTCGGTTTTTCGCGAATAACTCGCGTAAAATGCGGCGGGTCGCGACAAAACTTTCATTATCCTCGAGTTACTCAATTGTACAACTACCCTAAGAATTTCATGACTCTGACCTAAATGACCTTTGGCCTGTGACCTACTTTTTGAGACCATGTTTGGCCGGAATCGCGATTCAGCGTATGTGGGCTCGCATTAGCCGCGCTTTTGCAGTCTTTCCGTGGTTTCAAGCGTTCAAACATGTGACATGATGTTGCCTCCATGCATAAGGATGTGTGTCAAGGTCACCTGAGGGTCAGGTCAGGTCATTGACCTTTGATGACCTCGGTTCACTTTTTCGAGTTTTACATGTTTCTAGGCTAGTTTTTGGAGCTGCATTCGAATTTAGCAACCATATAAACATTTACGAAGTAGTTTTTGTGCCTTCGTACGTAACATGTTATGAAAGAGGCGGCTGACACCTACTACGAATGCTCGGCAGGACCCCATACTGGTTGACCTAACCTGACCTGACCCGACCTGGCCTAAATGCATGAAGACATCATCTGTGATCAAAACTAACATGATATTGGTGATCAGCACCTCGAACCAATAGCAGCCACACTTTATGACGTTCTAACAGGTCTCGATTTTCTCGATTTTTTGGTTATTGACCTGACCTGGAAGGTCAACCGATGACCTAGGACCTTAAAATTGGGCATCAACGGCTTTTTCTCGTCACGGGCAACACGTTCATTTTTTTCCACGAAGCTCTAGCTCGATCAGGGACGAAACGACAAGAGGTGTTCAACAGACCCCTCCCCCTTATACGTTCGCGGCTGGAAAAAACACCGATACGGGCGAGGGCTAATGCAGTCCATGTTTATCATTTAATTTACGGCCTGCGCTTTATGATAAATGCCCGATTGTAATCGCTTGTAATTGTAGAACTGCACACTGGCCTGAGGCACGAACGACAACGGTTTAATGGGGCGTAACACGTCAACATAGTAACAATTAATAACAGCCGCCGCCTTCCATACACGCAGCCTATCGCCATAGCAGTGAAACACGTATGCTTGTCGTCGTTCTGAATTTAACCCTCGCCAGGCAAGGGCCTTTTCTATAACACGGACAGCGAGGGGGGGGGCTGGTACGACCCCCTGGGGATTGGCTCATATGACACCTAGAAACGCCAAATCCACGGGATACGTGGGTACATAGGAGATCTCGCCTCCGTGAAAATTTGGTGACTCTAAGTCAATATTTAGGGGGGTTTTGTGGTACGAGCAAAAATTTCGCAAAAACATTTCACAGTTTTTGCTTATGCTTTTGACGTAGTAAAGATAGATTAAAAATAAGAGCACCGTTGAAGTCAGGACGTCCGTGCACATCGAATGATATACCTTGATACTAATTTAAATGAATTATTTTTCTTGAAAACCCGCGCGGGGCTAGGGGGGGGTAAATTTTACCCCCCCTCGTGAATTTTTGCGATATCTCAAAAACGGCGGCGCGCAGCGCCGCCAAACTTTCAGTACCTTTTCTTACATCAATTTGACACCTTCCCTGAAAATTTGAGCGAAATCCGTCGGAAAATTTTTGAGAAATTGACGTTTTAGTGACGTCATGTTCGCCATTTTCGCCTCAAAAACGGCAAAAGTTCAAACGCCGCTAACATCTTCATTTTTAAAGGAATCAAGACGTAACAAAAAAGGTTATACGTAATTTTACTTTGTCTATCAAATGGCTATCTCGGTTTTTTGAAAATTTTGGATTTTGGCCTAATTTTTTTCAAAAAACTAATTTTTTTGGGAAAATCATTATAAAATCCAAAATTTTGAGTCTATCGAAAAAACCGGAATATATGTCAGAGAAGTGGTCTATGTGCACCTACATACCAAATTTTAGAAGAATCGGTTCAAAAATGTGAGAGTTATTCAAAATTTTATGACGTCACGACACACAAAATTTTTGAAAAATGACTTTTTTGGAAGTTCTAGACCTCGTACGGAAACAAAAATAGCACCATTCGATTCGCCGTGAAAAACTGCATCAGATAGACACCTTTTTAGGCCTTAACAACCAACTTCAAAATTTGACCTCACTTGACCTGACCTTGACCTGACCTCGACCTGAAATTCATCCAGAGGTGGTCCATATCACTTATTGAGTGTGCCTATTGAATTCTATGAGTAAAATGACCCATAAAACATGTGTCGCACATGCCCTTTTCTATATTTTGTTTTTTGGTGACCTGACCTGACCTGACCTGACCTTGACCTTGACCTCTGAATGATATTGTATGCAACTAATATTGTCTTGGTAGCCTAAGAACACGTTTTGGGCGATCAGTCTCAGTCCATGACTCCATTCTTCGGCAACTACGGTGCAAGGCCGATACTGTAGAAACTTGCAATTTGTACCCTTGACCTGACCTTGACCTTGACCTCAAACTTTAAATTAAGTACATGTTTTTAGTAGTTCGTGATAAGAGCTTTCGATTGGCGTTTGAATTTTCCAAATCGGACCATTAGTTCGGGAGATAACAGGGGGGGTAAAATTTACCCCCCCCCCAGCCCCGCGCGTTCGGCTGGAGACCCCAGCCCCGCGCGGGTTAAGTGAACATAAAGTAAGTAACTAAGTTTAACTTATTCAAAATGCATCATATCGTATATCATTCGAATCGCCTGATCTCAAGGAACACAACGACACCATCTTTGAACCTCTAGCCTCATTTTGTGCCATATTATTAGCAAAAACGTAGTTTGACATAAGTAGACCTCAATTGACCCGACCCAAGGGTTCTTGTAGCTTGCAAACACCAAGTACCTAGATGTAACTCATGGTAGTACAACACAAAAACGTTAAAATAAAGCACAAATCTCTTATCTTTACACATTCGCGCATATTTCCCTAAAATATTGTCATGACCTCTAAATGGTACCTTAAGTCAACAGAGTTTGAAAAATTGGGCTGCATATGCTGGCACTCGGTAACCTAGGCATATCTTGCAAGTCTTCATCAAATGGATGAAGAAATCTAGCTTCCATGAAAAAATAGCGCATTTCTGGTGCCATTTTGACAATGTACCGGTTTCAGTGACCTTGTGACCTGACCTCAATTCACTGGAACCTAAAACGCCAAGGTCATATGTCAAATAGATGCCCCAAGTTGTGTCTGAAATTTGGTAGCGCTACGTGCTCTAGCACCCACGCTATCAACGAATAACTCTCCCGCATTCAGTGGCCGCTAAACTAGTCCAACTTTCCCCTGACTTTGTACCATTTTTGTGAACCTGCCGCTCTGAGCTCCCCTAGAGCCTGACCACAGTACCTGCACGGGACACCTGCCGCTCTGAGCTCCCGGAGAGCCTGACCACAGTACCTGCACGGGACACCTGCCGCTCTGAGCTCCCCTAGAGCCTGACCACAGTACCTGCACGGGACACCTGCCGCTCTGAGCTCCCGGAGAGCCTGACCACAGTACATGCACGGGACACCTGCCGCTCTGAGCTCCCCTAGAGCCTGACCACAGTACCTGCACGGGACACCTGCCGCTCTGAGCTCCCGGAGAGCCTGACCACAGTACCTGCACGGGACACCTGCCGCTCTGAGCTTCCGAAGAGCCTGACCACAGTACCTGTACGGGACACCTGCCGCTCTGGGCTACCGAAGAGCCTGGCCGCAGTACCTGCACGGGACACCTGCCGCTCTGAGCTCCCCTAGAGCCTGACCACAGTACCTGCACGGGACACCTGCCGCTCTGAGCTCCCCTAGAGCCTGACCACAGTACCTGCACGGGACACCTACCGCTCTGAGCTCCCCTAGAGCCTGACCACAGTACCTGCACGGGACACCTGCCGCTCTTAGCTCCCGAAGAGCCTGACCACAGTACCTGCACGGGACACCTGCCGCTCTGAGCTCCCGAAGAGCCTGACCACAGTACCTGCACGGGACACCTGCCGCTCTGAGCTCCCGAAGAGCCTGGCCACAGTACCTGCACGGGACACCTGCCGCTCTGGGCTCCCCTAGAGCCTGACCACAGTACCTGCACGGGACACCTGCCGCTCTGAGCTCCCGAAGAGCCTGACCACAGTACCTGCACGGGACACCTGCCGCTCTGAGCTCCCGAAGAGCCTGGCCACAGTACCTACCTGCGCAGACACCTGTCGAAGGTCTCGGAGACCCTGACTCTGACCTGTGACGGTACCTGCGCAGACACCTGCTGAAGGTCTCGGAGACCCTGACTCTGACCTGTGACGGTACCTGCACGGGCTCCTGCCGAAGGTCTCGGAGACCCTGACTCTGACCTGTGACGTTACCTGCACGGGACACCTGCCGAATGTCTCGGAGACCGTGACTCTGACCTGTGACGGTACCTGCACGGGTTCCCGCCGAAGGTCTCGGAGACCCTGGCTCAGACCTGTGACGGTACCTGCACGGGACACCTGCCGAATGTCTCGGAGACCCTGACTCTGACCTGTGACGGTACCTGTGCAGACACCTGCTGAAGGTCTCGGAGACCCTGACTCTGACCTGTGACGGTACCTGCACGGGCTCCTGCCGAAGGTCTCGGAGACCCTGACCTCTGACCTGTGACGGTACCTGCACGGGCTCCTGCCGAATGTCTCGGAGACCCTGACTCTGACCTGTGACGGTACCTGCACGGGCTCCTGCCGAAGGTCTCGGAGACGCTGGCTCTGACCTGTGACGGTACCTGCACGGGCTCCTGCCGAATGTCTCGGAGACCCTGACTCTGACCTGTTACGGTACGTGCACGGGCTCCTGCCGAAGGTCTCGGAGACCCTGACTCTGACCTGTTACGGTACGTGCACGGGTTCGTGCCGCGCCGGCCTCTGAACCCGAGTGGCCCTGCCCCGGGGCCAGGACCGGTCCCCGATGGCCCACTATTACTTCCGCGCGCTGTTTGCTGGTTGCCATGGCGACCGGTGGCCGAACCGCTGCACCTCCGTGGTCATAAGCACGCAACGTGGGCAGTCACGGAAGGCCCACGTTATTGAAACTTATGAAAAACCAGTACACTCGCAGCCAAACTGGTGAAAAAATCGGTCTTCAATAAAAGCGACTGAACACTGGCCCTGCTCAAACATCACTGTCTACGGAGCAAACGTTTATTGAGTTGTAGTCTAGTTATCTCTTCGCTTTATGCTTAGACAATTCTTTCGTTGGTTGGTCGCTAAATCTGGTTCTGCGATGTGAAGATCTGCAGGTCACCAAATGTAAAAACACTATTCAAAATTTTTCATTACTTTGATAGTTTTCTTTCATAAGTCGGAGCATAACTCGTGAACCAAAAAATGCTAGAGTTCCGGAATACGCATTCGATAGCTCTCGTTAAGCTTTTTTACTATGATGCCCTTAGACTTGACCTCAGTTCAACGGTTGGGCCCAGAGAGGGCAAAAATTATTTAAACAGGCGGAACTTTCCGGAACACTTTTCGCACCATTTTTGTGCAGTAACTCTGGAGTCAATAATTTTGGTGACATTTGTTTTGCCCGCATCGTGTTTCTTTCGTCCAGATGCATCGAATGAACTATAAGTTCACGTTTTAAGGTTCAACTTGATGCTTTGACTTCAGGTCAAGGTCATGGTCTGACTGGATGATGTCATGATTCACGTGAACCGATCTGTATTGATGACCTGAACACATTTCAGGTGTTTTATTGCTACATCATGCCTCCATCAAAAGATATTGTAGAAAAAAAGTGCTGCTAGTGACCTTTTATGATCAAACATGAAAATTTACGTGACCGCTGGCAAGGACCTGCACCATATACAGTGGACGATGGACATACATATGAATGAGTAGAATCGTCATGTTTCTGATACATATTCTTTGGTTTTGACATGTTTGTTCAAAGCAGGAGGTATTTGTTATTTTCATTCAATGGCTTTACTCGTATGATCGTGAGATCAGGCCGGCCAGGGCCCGATTTCACCAAGTGAATATATTCCATTACGGCGGCGTACATATTCACTTTTGGCACATTATGACATATTCAGTTTCACCAAACTCCGTACAGGGATACTCGAGGGCAGCGCTTTTCGAGGAGCGCTGTGGCCCGAAGGTTTGGACTTTGAATTGTGAAAAACGCCCGCCCGCCGCAAAACGCAAACACCACAAAACGCGCAAAACGCACGCCCGAAACGCCAACGCAAAACGTCGCAAAAAATAAACAAACGCCCGCCCGCCGCAAACCGCAAAAAACGCAAAAACGCCGCAAAACAATAAAACCGCCCGCATCGCACGCCCGCTAAACGCCAACCGAAAACACCTAAAAATCGCCCGCCCGCCGCCAAAAGCAAACACCGCAAAAAAAAAAACGAAAAAGCGGCCGCCAACCGCAAACAAATTTAACACCGCAAACGACGCAAAAAAAACCACCCGCATCGCCCGCCCGCCGCCAAAGATAAACACCGCAAAAAAACGCCCGCCCGCCGCAAACGTTTGAGGTTTGAGGTACTTCTGGTACGCCGATCTGCTTTTTCAACAGCTGTTTGCCGAGTTTGCTGGCATTGAAAGTATGCTACTTTTTGTGGCATACTTTGAGAAACAGCTTGGCATACATCAATTTTTTGTATGATAATGTTACAAATTTAATGACTTCATCGATGCAACGTATGATAAAAACATGCCACTGGCTACGCAAAAAGTTTTAGAGGTCATAATGGTTATTTCTTGCTGGATATATAGGGTATCGTGTGTCTGGGCTTATTACGGAGCGAGCGAAGCGAGCGGAGTCTCATACTGAATTAAGGGAAAATCCTGAGTATGAGCGGCCGGCCGGCCGTGGGGACGCTCTTCAAAAGCTAATATCTTAGGAACGGGACATCCGATTGACAAGCGGTCTTCTTTACTGAATGTCACTTGGACGTAAAAGTTCTGTGGTGTGATGGCCACCATGCGTTCTTGCCAACCACCGCACGTGGCGCGTGGTAAAGTTGGACATTTTTTAAGAACCCCCAAAATTGCAACCTCAATAACGGCACAACGGTTGGGCCGATTGAATTGAAACTCGGTACACAGTTAGGTCTCCATCAGATAATTCATCTGCATGTGTTCAGGTTGGGGTGCTACAGCACGTGCGCACGTGCAGGGGGCGCTCCCAGATCTCGAGAACGGCTGGGCCGATTGCGCTCAAATTTGGTACACGGTTGGGGATCAGTTAGTAGGGTGCCGTGCAAAAGTCAGTTTGGACCCCGCTTGCACGTGCGCACGTGCAGTGTGCCGCTTCCAGATCTCGAGAACGGCTAGGCCGATTGCGCTGAAATTTGGCACATCGCTAAAGACCGGTTAGTAGGGTGCAGTGCACAAGTTAGTTGGAGGTACCCCCTCGCAATTTCGCACGTGCAAGGCCCATCCTCTCGCTCGCTCCGTTGGTCGCCCAAAAGGCGTTTTACTGGTATTGAAATTAAACCCCAGAACAGCTATTTTTATAAGGCTTATCTCATCGTGGCATCACTGCGATTAAAATCACCCCATCATGCAGAAACACAACAGGGAATTCCCTTTTTCATTCGCATTCCCGATTACATTATTGAGTTTTCCACTTCAAAAAAACGACAGTTCACATTGTATTTTGATAACACAAAAGGCCAAAAGCATTTCAAATCTTTCTCACCGTGATTATTACACCGTGCTCTTTACACAGCGTTTTACCGAAGAGAAAGTAAATAGCTGGCGAGGGCGAGAGGAAGAACTGAAGTCCAGTCTAGCAACGCCTTGATTGACATGCCCAGCATGTTGCATCACAAGTCACAACGCTTCATTACATTCGTTTTCATCGCCCACTTTTACTATTTCTTTGCAGTATCCATATGCTGTCCAATGTCCATATTTCTCTTGTGTTGTGGCCAAATGATTCAATTTATCACCGGCCTCCCGCTTCCGTTTAGGTTTAGAGAATGATTCCGAAATATTCTCCATATTTGAAGTCGTCGGTAGACCCTTCGATTATTTAAAAACTTGATTCAGGTAATATTTCAGATAACTTGTCGGCTAGTCGGCCGTGCTCCTTGCTACCATCAGTGATCGGTAGTTAGATAGGTGCCTCAAGTAAATGCCATTTCTTGTTCTGCTTTATTTACATTTGCTCTAAACCACTCCAGCATTGCGTAGAAGATGTGAACAAATATTAAAGCAATATTTAATGAGAAGTAACTTGGAAGAAAAATTAATATTAATTCAAAATCCAATAAAACCCACACCTTGACCCACACACGCCAGTAACTTCAACTGTGCTGCGCGGCTTGCTGCCGATCGTTTACATTTTGGCTTTGGAATGTCATGCTCCGAGCAAAAATCAAGAGCATTATTAGCAATATTTCCTTAGGCACTTCCTCTTGTATGATCAGCAAATTTAATTCTTATTAGAGTAGCCAGAATTTTTTCATAATATTGTATATCTGAGCATTTAAGCTCGTCGACTTTAAATACGGAAAAATATACATAGTGAATGCATGTCGCCGACAAGATGTATGCATGCGCGCCGGTGGCTCTCAAACTACGTAAAGCGGGCGTAGTGAATATATTCCTGTGGTGAAACAGAATAGTATTGTCGTCGTACTTTGTCGGTGTACTTTTCCAAAGTACACCAAGAATATATTCACTTGGTGAAATCGGGCCCAGGGCTGAGGTTAAATTTTTATGTGGTTCGATAGAAAATTTTAAGCAAACAACGGTGCCTAACTTGTACTTCGATGTGGATGTACTTCCGTTACACCATATCGGTACTGTTTCAAAATGGTGGCATGAGTTTAAGCACCTCGGCGACAAAGGCCATTTGGCCTCTAAAAACGAGCGGGAGTATCTAGCAATCATCAATTTAGCTGATAAAACGGTCGATATCAACACTATCAAACTGATGGGCATCGTATCAATGTGCACTGCTCCTTTGCAGCTGCCCAGTGTCTTTGTATCAGTGTATTCTGACCGTCTCCTGCGGTCCAACGTCTTTTGTCATTGCGCTGTCACGTAATGGCATGTCTTTGTAGTGACTGACGTCCATTCATGACTAAATAATGAAAACATGGCTTTCAACGGCCGCTGTTCGGCTTTCATAGCCGCTGTACGGCGAGGATATCTGCAAAAGGTATGCATACCTGCATACCTGCATACCTGCATACCTGCAACGACAGAAATACCTATATCGTGCTGGCGCAGGCCTACTGAGTGCCACTCTATGTTCCGTCGGGTGTTTTTAACCCTCGCCCGCACATGCCATTTTCCCATCCTAGAGCGTACATGGGGGGGGGGGGGGTGCCACCTACCGCGCCTTTTCGTTCCTGCTGGAGATAGAGCTTCGCAGCAAGGACCAACAGATTTTTGGAGAAGAGAAAAATCCAATGGTGCCCAATTTTACCTCATTAGGTCAATCATTGACCTTCCAGGTCAAATCAAACTAAAAAATGCTGCTGTTTGGGGCCACCGTTGGAATATCACGTGCGGTGCCCATCATATACCGATGGCGCTGCCCTTTGTGGTGCCAGGCCAGCTAGAACAGCTCTTTGTCACACTATCCTAGGTTTTACCGGCTTTGGTCATTTCAAGTCAAGTTAGGTCAAGGGCAATAATATGTGTTTGTATGTCTGTGTGTGTCTGTGTGTACACTGATGTGTGCACCGATTGGTTTGTGTGTCCCTATTACATGAGAGCATGATCCATAAATGAAGTTTTCAAGCTTTTACCATAAATGCAGTCAAAAAGCTTCACGAAAATAAATTCAGCAAGCCTAAAATGCAATGTTTTTAGGTGACCTATGTTGAACTTGACCCTAACCCTGACATCCGCACATCGTCGAACAACATGTTTCATG